TTTTTTAGACAGACACCAACTGCTAAAAATAAACGATATTAAACTTTAACAGCACCATTGCAGACCACCTTCTTACTAGTGAGAAACTCTTCCACACTCATCTTCCTGAGAATACATTTATTTTGAATGTCAACATAATGTTGGTGAGTGCACGAGTTTTTATTTTTGAATCTTTTTTAGAATCCTTTTCTTTGAGAAACCCTTTCTTAATTATTAACCTAGTTTTCTATCTTTTTACGATATCTAACGATCCTAGCATATTTTAATTAGTAATCTTTTATTAATCCTAATTTACTATCTCTTTTAGGATGTATAACAATCCTAACATATTTTAATTAGGATATCTTTTATAAATCCTAATTTACTATCGTTTTAAGATATCTAACGATCATAATGTATTTTAATTATGATATCTTTTATTAATCCTAATTTACTATCTCTTCTAGGATATCTAACGATCCTAACGTATTTTAATTAGGATATCTTTTATAAATCCTAATTTACTATCTTTTTAGGATATCTAACGATTCTAACGTATTTTAATTACCACTCCAGGCATCTCTAATGGTAATCTAAATTTTATGGCAATTTTTAATGTATTATCGTGAGCCCCTATAATCGACGCTATGACCGTAAATATACCCCAAATCACGACGCTTCATTGGACGTCAAATAGTAACTTATATGGAAGGTATCCTGTCGGGATTGTAGCTAGCTATCGCATGTGGGGTTGTTATGGCCCCGTATAGATCTATACATAACTTCCTAGCTCTCGCAAGACTAACGATTATAGGTATTGGGGATATGTCGAATTTAATCAAGGTTTTTTGATGAATAACCAACTCACTAATGTATTAACTGTAAGCTTTTATCTTTTATCTTAACATATTACCCATATATATATATATATATATATATATATATATATATATATATATATATATATATATATATATATATATATATATATATATATATATATAGGGGTAAGGTTCTATGGAAAACTAAAAACCCTAAAAGAAACCTTAAAAATCATAAAAATACATAAAAAAAATACTTAGAGACAACAAATCTTTTTTTTTTTTGACTTTATATTCTTAAAAATCGCAACTTCTTATATAATTTCGCTGAAATGTTTTTTGAAAAGAAAAAACAAAACAAAAAAAATCGATTGTTTAATTTTTTTTTCAGCGAATTTATAAAAAAAGCTGCGAATTTTAAGAATATAAAGTCAAAAAAAAGATTTGTGATCTCCAAGTATTTTTTTATGCATTTTTATGATTTTTAGGGTTTTTTCGTTTTCCATATAACCTTTCCCTATATATATATATATATATATATATATATATATATATATATATATATATATATATATATATATATATATATATATATATACCCTAATTCTGGTTATTTTAACATGATATTTGGTAGAGTAACAACCAAGTACTATGCATATCCTAAATCATGTCTAGCATAACTCCTGGGTACTAAGGTTTCCTTGAAATTTGGTAACACCTACTCCTAGATTATTGGACATTATAACCTCTAGACATAAGTCATAGCTTAAATCTAGGCATAATATCTACAGTTATACTATCCTAAGTCCTCTAGCTTATTGTAAAATGATTTGACATTTATAAAATAAATATTTTTATATAACCATTTGATAAGCATGTATTCCCCCTGAAATCATTTAAAACAGTGAAGTAGGGGTCGTTAACTCACTCTAGGGTTTAAAACTGTTGATGTAGGGTAGAGATGAGCTCGAAACTTTAGAGACCGCTCCACGAGGTAACACACAAACCAGAGAGAAAGAGAAAAGTGAATGAAGGTGTGTTGAAACTGAATCGAACCTTCAATCTATAATCGAGTTTTAGGGGTGCGTGACGTGCATTTCCTACGTGCGGCGTGCAGTCGAACACCGTGGCTCCACAGGAAGTTGCCACATGTCACCTCCCTACTCAGCCATGTCACTCGTAATCTGTCCGAATTTGGTGTCAAGTACGCGGCATGCGGCGAGCGGAGGAGCGCACTTGACGCACAAGTAATGATTTTTGAAAAGTCATAACTTCGTTGTGTGTTCTCCAATCTAGACCCTCTCCATATCTATGTGACGATCTCAACGAGTACTTCAACTTTCCTTTTGGTTGTTTTGGCCGGTTTCGACTTTCATTTTCGAGCCCAACGGGGGTAAGAATTAATGATTTTATAAAAATCATAACTTACTCATATGGATCCCGTTTTCGACGAATTTTTTCCTAATGTTTATATATCGAGGAGTACTACGTAACTCCTTTTTGCACTTTTAGTCGAAATTCAACCAATCTCTAAGTATCGTTTTGACGTAATTAATTTTAACTATGTGGTTGATTTCAAATCCATAACTTTCTCCTTCAGAGTCGACTTTTTACAAATCTTATATCCTTGAGATCAAGTTAAGAAGTACTATCCAAGTATGTTAACTGAATCGAAAAACGTCACAACTTTTTGATCGCTAATTTTTAGAGCATAATGGATGATTTTTAGCAAATAAATGTAACAACATGTCTGATTCTTATTATCTTAAAAATCGAATATTACAATGCTTTGTTTTACATTTATTTTCCTATTATTTCCTAACGGTGGCTAGTGATGGAATTTTTCAGGATTGTTATAAATTCTATGATGGAAACCTCCATCTATGAGGAAGATAAGGTTTCTTAATATGTTATTTATTTTCTCCTGATTTAAATAAGACATTCGGATTTGTGTTACCGTAGAGTTATTTCCAACGACGATAATCAAGATCCATGGTTTGTTAAGCTTCACTAAGCCGATTTTTCTTTTGTGTATGCATGTTTATATGATTAAGAGTCGTTAGTTTGAAACCGGTGTGCAATCGGTGTTCTTTCAATGTTTTTTTCTAAAATTTTGGATTTCAAGGTTATGTATTGTAAACCGATGTTGTATCTGTCAAAGTTATTGCTTTATAGATTTGATTTTGCGTATTGTTCTTCTACTGAAATGGAGATTGTCCAACCATACCAATTATATACAAAATATGATGCAATGTGTATGGAATTGAATCTGATGAATCGTGAATCATTAATCAATTTGAAGAAAAATCGCCTGGTATGAGTTGAATCTTATAAACCTGAAATGATAATATATGCCTGGTATGCTTCATGTTTCAACCAGATTTAATGGAGAAGACAATGACACTGTTACACTTTGGTCACCAGAATATCAGAAATGTGAGAGTTTTTGTCGTGTAATTTAAACCATAGCGGGTAAGGTATCAACTACAAAAGAAATTTAAACCATAAGGACTATTCATTTAATTAAGAATAACTAGTTAACAGAAGAATGGTTAAAAACTAACGATAATGGCTTAATTGACATGTATAGTAAAAGTTAGATGACCTATTATGCAAAAAAAACATAATTGGTCAAATTGGACAAAACACGTAAGTTCATTCTCTATAAATATATTACTAAAATATAACCAAATAGTTATTATATTTTATAATAACCTAGTCGTATTTAATAAACTAATGAATAAACATGAAACATGAAAGACTAAAAGCAACAAATTAAACTTTGACGGTATTTTTGTGTAAATCAAATTTGGTGTTATACCCAAGCTTCGACATTATGTTGGCGTAAACCAAATTTGGTGTTATACCGAAGCTTCAACATTATTTTGGTGTAAATCAAATTTGGTGTTATAATGTATTATTTTATCTGAACCGATTTTAAAACATGTGGATCTCTATGTAATATGTAAAAGTTTTGAAGGGGATAATTGTAATTTGGATAGGTTTGCTTTTTACCAATATTTTAAAAACCGATTCGAACCGACCGTTTGAATCGGTCGGACCAAGAACCGGGGACAAGAGGCGTTCAACAACAACCATTTTTATGTCAATTTTAAACCAGACCAAACGTAAGATTTCTTCAAAAATCGGGTTGAACCAGTGTGATAGAACCGATTTATTGGATTTGGTTAGTTGAATTTGAGTTTACCTGTTAAAAATAGTCAATTTTCAAAGAAAATTGAACATCTCCATCTGATAGATCCGGTTAGTCTGAATTTACAGAACTTGAAGGTAGACGCACACCCCTGCTGGATGTAAAGAAAATTCTTGGTTTTTTATATATATGTACGTAGAAAAATGAAAAATATATCAAAATTATAGAAACCAGGTTAAACCGACGTGACAAACCCAAAACCGAACCATCATACCAATTCAATTAAAAAACTCATTTTTAAAACATTGCTTTTTACTCATTTCTACTAGCGTAGTGCTTCAATTGACGAGTCTGGTGCAAAAATCTAATGTATTTCTCCAAAGTTTCATTTAAGAAGGGAAAAGAAAAGAAAGAGAGTGTTGGAAGGTAGAGAAATGCAAATAAAGATAATCTATACTAATCTTCCTCGATCAGAAAAAGTAAGAGAAATGATAGCAAAATCGTTCATTTTTTTCTCTAGTTTTATTTTCTTTTGAGCATAAATAAAAGATCCCTTATGATTCCAATTTCCAAAATCGCAAGCGGTCCATGCCCCTGTCTCCCATAAACAAAGAAGAAGCCAAGGTATCCGAGTTTTCATAATAACTTTCGTCAAATCTGTTATTTCTCTTTTACGATTGATCACGACATGCAATCCAGATCCATAATTATATGCTTAATAGGTTTTCAACATTGTTGTTACTTGTATGGTTTTACTTTTTGTAATGTTATTACTCGAATTTGGTTACATTACGGATTCACTTTTATTGATTGAAATAGAATTGTCTTCTCGGATTGTAGTAATATGGTATTTCATTCTGTTTCCTGAAATGCATGCATACACCATTAAATATATACACATAAAATTCCGTATTGATTTTCTTACAGCAAATTGATTTACTTTCGTAATGGAATTGTGCCTTCATTTTCATGTGCTGATTTTCTCACAGTTTCCAAATTAAAAACTGATACATTCCATTAGAAAAAGAAACCCTTTTTTGCATCATATGGAGGGATCAAGAAACAGCCATGGAAAGCGTTCCAATTCTCAGTCTGACCACAACGATAATGTAAGAACCAAAAGAGGAAACACTGGTGATGAAAGTGGAAAGAACTTAATCAATTCAGATTATACTGTATTCTGTTACTTATGCCCTGCTGAGAAACTTATGAGCATAATAGGAGGATGTTGTAAGATTATCATAAAATTAGAATCCGAAACTAATTCAACAATCGATTTTACTGATAAAGTGCTTGGATGTGGAGAACGTGTTATTACTATCTACAGCACAAATGATGAAACAAACGACTTTGATGGAATAGAAACTGATCAACGAGTTTGTCCATCACAAGATGCCCTTTTCAAAGTACATGACATCGTAGTAGCTGATGAAGTGGGGCCCAATGAGGTTGCTGACATGGCACCACAAGTTACAACTCGTCTCCTTGTCTCATCTGATCAAATCGGATGTGTTATTGGAAAAGGTGGAGAAATTGTTCAAACTATAAGGACAGAAACCGGTGCTCAGATTCTTATTATGAAGATAAACCTTTTTTTATCTTCATCCATATGAAATGTTCTATAAATCCCTGCCATCTAATTTATCATTGTTAAATTATGAATCTTTTTCTCATGATGATTATTTTATGTACAGCTCTCTAATCACATATATTCTCCAACTATTGAAGCCGCAATACATCTACAAATGAGGAGTAATTTGAGGGATAAAAGTGACTTTTATTCAAGTTTTATTTAATATACCACTCAATTACTTGTTCCCTCTTCTCATGTTGCCTCCATAACTGGGAAAGAAGGCTCCATAATTTCTGAAATTTGTAGAGTCACTCATGCTGATATTCAAATACTTTCAAAAGAAAACCTTCCAAAAGTAGCCAAACACTATCATGATGAAATGGTGCAGGTATATATTTCTATATTTAATTAAAATATCAGCAAATTGCACGAAATAATACATTATATTTTATCCATAATAGCAAGAAACTTACGTTTAAATAACCATAATAGATATACACTTGCATGTTTTACTGATAATAGCAATATGTAGCTCACAATACCAACATTCTTGCATTATCTTTACACAAACAATGTAACTTACATTTCATTACCAATAATAGCAATATGTAACAAACAAAGTACAATGTCCATATTTGTAGCGAAATGTAAGTACATTGCTATTGTAGATAAAGAAACCTAAGTACAATTTCTATTATCACTAAATAAATGTAAGTAGGTTATAATTATGAGTAAAAAGTAAAACTACATTGTAAAATATTCATATATAGAGAATTAGATAGAGATGGAGCATACCATGATGAGTGTTGACCCTTTTTGTTAATTTTTCTTCTATAAGATTTGTGGAAGTTATGTTTGTGTGTTGAATGCATTTCGACACGTGGCATCAATTATACATGTTTTGATATCACGTATACATTTACACATATTGGATCACCACATCACGTCGTAAACAGATTTTATTTCAGAAATTATCGGATTTTCTGGGTTATACAACGATACCAATTTTTTTTCAAACATGCTTATGAACTCACCAACATTATATATGTTGACCCGTTTCAAATAACTTGTATTCTCAGGTAACAGATAAGCATAAGATGATTATCAAGCGTATTAGGATTTCATGTTTTGTGACTTTTAAACAATATACTTATAATTATGTAATATTTGTTCAATGTACTTGATGTGAACTATGACAGTTGTACTATGTAATGTTGGTGATGTATGTGTTTGTTTCATGTATATTCATTGTAATGGTATTAAATTGGTAGTCACGCAAGCCCTCGGACGGTTCCGCCATCCGGTTCGAGGGTGTGACAGCTCCTCCCAAGACTAATTGGAAGGCCAAGGCCCAAGTTGGGTCATCTAGCAATGGCCCAAAGGCAAGGCCCAGTTCAGACGTTCCGGCTGTTAGTGACCCTAAATAGGCCACTTGCGACTATTGCAATGAGAAGGGCCATTGGAAGAGGAGCTGCCCCAAGTACCTGTAAGACATCAAGGATGGAAAGGTGAAGTCAATGTCAGCAGGTATATACATTATTCAATCTAATAACTCACCAACTACTCGTTCTTGGGTCCTTAATATAGGATGTGGTTTTGACATTTGTTATGATTTGTAGGGACTAAGAGAAAGTGAGGAAGTAGAGCATGGAAAGATGAATCTGATCATGGGCAATAGGCGATCTTCTCCTATGACCAAGATTGGGACTTGTCATCTTATGCTTAGTAGTGATGTTAGTTTATATTTGATTAATTGTTTCTATTCGTCAGAAATGACTCGAAAAACTATTTCATTTCATGCATTGTTCAGACAAGGTTTTTGTTACTCTTTTAATGATATGAATGGTTCAATTTTAGTTTATAAAAATGATGTTTTTAAATTTGAAGCTTTACCTTGTGATGGAGTGTATGAAACTGTGACTTGTGTTGATATCTTAGGCAATGATGAATTTCACATTGATCCGTCTAATGGTTTAGATAAGGCATGCTTGTGACATTGTCATCTTGGGCACATTAACAACAAACGCATCACCCAACTCCAAAAGGATGGAGTGTTAGAATCATTTGACCTAAGACCAGATGATGAATATGAATCTTGTATTTTCTAAAAGATGACAAAATCACCTATCACTGCACCTTGTGAAAGAGGTGAAGGATTATTGGACCTCATACACACAGATATGTGTGGATCCTTCAGATCCACCATAAAAGATGCTAATCAATTTTATGTAATATTTCCAGATGAATATAGTAGATATGGTTAGATCTACTTGATCAAGAATAAATTAGAAACCTTTGAAAAGTTCAAAGAGTGTAAAGTCGAGAATCAATTGGGCAGGAAGATAAAGATGTTTCGATCCGATAGAGGAGGAGAGTATCTTAGTATCGAGTTCCACGACTACCTCAAGGAATGTGGAATAGTTTCACAATTGACCCCTCTTAGAACCTTATTGGATATGGTTCGTTCGATGATGAGTCGAGCCACTCTTCCCATTTCCTTCTGGGGTATGCGTTAGAGACAGCCACCCACATCCTCAAACTTATCCCTACTAAAAAGGTTGCCAAAACACCTCACGAGAAGTGGGCAGGGAGAGTTCCCTCGTTAGCACATATCAAAGTTTAGGGTTGTGAAACTTTCGTTAGACGAGAGACTCATGACAAGTTAGAAGCCAGAAGTAAGAAGTGTATTTTCATTGGCTACCCACAAAAGGTTTTTGGATATTTGTTCTACAGAGCTAGTGAGAACATGGTCTTTGTAGCACGAAAATGAGTCTTTCGCGAGAGAGAACTCATATGCAAAGAGGACAGTGGGAGCACAATCGAACTTGAAGAGATTGAAAAGTCAACCAATGAAGGAACCTTAGAAGCTACTAGAACTCAACCATAGGAAGAAATTCTTGTTGAGACAGCTGACAGTTCATTACCTCTTCGACATTCAAGTCCATGTATGAAAACCATTTTTTTTAATTTAGTTGATCAAGAACCTGGTCGAAAGACAGTTGGTTGGAAATGGATATTCAAGAAGATGACCAACATGTATGGAAATATGTACACATTCAAGGCACAACTCGTTGCGAAGGGCTTTACTCAATCCTAGGGATTGCATATGATGAGGCCTTCTCACCAATGGTCAAGATAAAATCTATTAGGATAATGCTTGAAATAGCTTCCTTTCATGACCATGACATCTGGCAGATAGATGTCAAAACTGCTTTACTTAATGGGAAGTTTGCTGAGGATGTTTACATGAGTCAGCCAGAGGGTTTTGTTGATATAAAGTTTCCCAATAGAGTGTGTAAGCTTGAAAAATCCATCTATGGATTAAAACAAGCATCTCGCAGCTGAAATCTTTGCTTCCATGAAAAAGTCAAAGTGTTTGGTTTTTCTAGGAGTGAGGATAAGTCTTGTGTATATGTCAAAGGTAGTGGGAGTATAGTAAACTTTATAGTATTGTATGTTGATGACATACTAATTATAGGAAACAACATTATAATGTTGCAAGAAGTGAAATATTGGCTTAAAAAGTGTTTCGCTATGAAGGATCTAGGAGATGAAGGCTATATTCTCGGGATAAGAATTTTGAGAGATAGAAAAAAAAGACTAATTGGACTTAGTCAAAGTACATTCTTGGACAAGGTACTAAAATGGTTTAGTATGGAAAATTCAAAGAAATGAGAGCTACCTATTCAGAGCAATGCTAAATTGAGTAAGACTCAAAGCCCTAGTACATATAAAGAGGTAGCTAACGTGAGTCGAGTACCCTATACTTTGGCAGTAGGATCGATCATGTACGCTATGACATGTACTCGCCATGATGTGTCCTTTGATTTGAGCATGGTCATTTGTTATTAGAGAAATTCTAGTAGAGCTCATTGGACAGCAGTTAAGAACATTGTTAAGTATCTGCAAAGGACAAATGATATGATTTTAGTCTTTGGAGGAAGTGATACATTGAGAGTGACTAGGTATAGTGATGCTGACTTTCAGACAGATAGGGACAATTTTTGTTCTCATTCAGGCTAAGTATTTCTATTAAATGGAGGAACAGTTACTTGGAAAAGTTCCAAGCAAGATACGATGGTTGATTCTATGTGCGAATCAGAGTACATAGCGGCAAGTGAAGCATCAAAAGAAGCAGCTTGGTTGAGGAACTTCAGCGGAGATCTTGGAGTAGTTCCAAGCATTCAGGAACCAATAGAACTTTTCTGCTATAATAAAGGTGCGTTTTCTTTAACTAAAGAACCAAGAGACCGTGGCAAGTCAAGACATCTCGACAGAAAGTACCATTACATCATACATAGAGTAGAAAGTCACCTCCTTGTGAATAGAGTATCATCATAACAGAATCATGTAGATCCTTTGATGAAGGCTATAAGTAGGGTCAAGAATAGTCAGCATGCTAGGGGCATTGGTCAGACAGATGATATTAGTGTAGTAGTTAGATGAATACTTTAAAACTTGTAACAAAATAAGTGTAATTGACTTTTTCTGATTAAATAATAGAGATTATTTATAACTTTGTTTATTGTCTTTGTCAATTATTTATGCTTGGTTTTCATTTTGTATGTTGTACTTCCTGAATAATTTAATTATTCAAATTCCATAGTCACTCATACTTTGGGAAGTAAGTAGTAAACTAAGACTGTCATGAATTGAGTTGTAGATTTTCTATGGAGTTAGACATAACAATTGTATTGCTACAACATTCATGAGTACATAGAAATAGAGATTTAAGTATTAGATAAAACCATGCTCAGAGAATTACTTCATGGATTATATCACGAGTAATTCTAAAATGATAATATCTTATATTCTTAAAACAAAGATATATGAGTTGTAATTTATAAGTCGGTTATGCATTGGTGTTGCAAAACACATCAGTAACGTGATGTTATAAAACATAGTGTCATGTATGATTTGGCGAGTAAAGGATACAAGAATATAATTCAAAGTTTATCCGTTCCTTTTGCCCTAACAGGAAAAGTGATATCTTTGGGCCTCTTGATGATTTGGTGTTGACTTATTGTGCTAGGCCCAGCCTGGACTAAATTGACGTGTTCAATTAGAAGTCTTATGTCGTCATCACAAATCGGAAATCGGGAAACAAAACTTGGACAATGAGATTGATT